CAAGGTAGAAGATGAACTTTTTGAAGTTTTGGTTTCAAGCAAAAACTCCATTATTTCATATTCATTGTCATGACATTTTTCTACAACACTTACTTCTTCATGCTTGTCAAATGAATTTGGGGTCGGATTGAAGATATTCAACTTCACCTTTATATGGCCAAATGAGATCTTCATTATTTCCATCCTACAATTGATGTTGGCATATGCGGTTGCCAAGAAAGGACGGCCAAGGATAACGGGAATTTGGCTCTTGGGATTTGGAACCAGTTCCATATCAATGACAATGAAATCGACTAGGAAGAAGAATTTATCAATTTTAATCAAGACATCCTCAATGACACCCCTAGGCTTTTTGATGGATCGGTCGGCAAGTTGCAAAACCATCAACGTCGGTTTCAAGTCTCCTAAGCCTAATTTGACATATACCGAGTATGAAAGAAGATTGACACTTGCTCCCAAATTAAGAAGAGCCCGATTAATGACATGGTCACCAATGATGCAAGAAGTAGTAGGTGAACCGAGGTCCTTAAATTTTGGAAGAGTGTTATGCTGCAAGATTGAGCTCACTTGCTCGGTCAAGACCACTTTCCTAGGTGCTTGGCTCTTATTCTTCCTCTTTTAGGTGCAAATATCTTTTAAGAACTTGGCATAAGCCAGAATTTGCTTAATTACATCCAAAGGTGGAAGATTAACCTTCACTTGCCTAAACATTTTAATAATTTCATTGGTCTTGGTCTTTTGTTTGTCAATGGAAATTGATCCTTTTAAGGCATCCAGAAATGGAGCTTTTGGCTCAAAATCTTTTTCAAAAGTTTTCTTTGAAGTTTCTTCAACACAACAATTTTTGAATTTATTTTTCAAATCAATTTTGAACTCACTTTTCAGATCACTTTCTAACACTTTCTCATTTGAATGATCATGCATATGCAATGAAGGAGGAATATGATGTGAAACGGGACGGGTGTCAACTCTTGGTTGCACCGGTTCACTCTCTTCATTGGACATACCCACTTGGTTGTCCACAATCTTCCCACTTCTCAAGGTTGTCACTGTATTAACATGCTCTATTGTGTGACCTTCCGATGAGGAATGAGTCTCCACAATGCATTGTTGCTTTGGTAGGGCATTCAAAGGCATTTTCCCTTTCTCTCTAGCATTTAGAGTACTAGCTATTTGCACTACTTGGATTTCTAGCTTAGCAATGGATTGAGAATGAGAGTGAAGCAATTGCGTGTTCGCCTCTAAAGTGCCCAAAATAGTTAAAACTTTTTCCTCAAAAGTGGGACTTCTAGAATTTCATTGAGAATATGATTGATTTGGACAATGATAATTAGAGAATTGGTTTCCATGTGATTGATATGACGATCTAAATCCTTGGGATCTTTGGCTTTGCATTGGAGGTGGAATATACTTCCCTTGAAAACCACCTTGGGGAGGGTTTGAGCCTTCCCTTTGGCTTTTCCAAGAGAAATTCGGGTGATTCCTCTAACTAGAATTGTAATGGTTGCCATAAGGATTGTTCCCTTGATTAACAAATGCTGCATTGACTTGTTCATGATGCTCATTTTGGACATGTTCATGGGGACAATTGGAAGTAGAATGTAAGACACTAGAACACGTCATGCATTATTCATTAGATAGATGATAAACATGATTAGGGGAGGAAGACACTTGGTTTGCCGAGTTTTGGTTAATAAAAAATTGATCAAACCGTTGAGATAAGGATTTCATCTCGGCGGCTATTTCATTAGAGTTGTCCACTTGATATAAGCCAACATTCTTCCTTCCACTTGAATTTCTACCATTCTTGGAAGATAATGATCTATGCATTGAATTCTTGCTCATGCTTTCATAAAGATGCCACGCATCATCCTCATGCCTATCAATATAAGAGCCACCCATGGAAGTATCAACCATTCCTTTGAAATTATCCGACAAACCTTCAAAGAAACATTGAACTAATTGCCATTTGAGTATGTCGTGGTGTGGACACTTCCTAAGTAAGTCATTTAGGCGCTCCTATGCTTCATGAAATGTTTCCCCATCCCCTTGTGAAAACTCTCAAATTGAGGTTCTCATGGCATTAGTCTTAGAAACCGGATAGTACTTTTTTAAGAACTCTTGTTGCATTTTTGCCCAAGAAGTTATTGAAAAAGGCCTAAGATTATTGAACCAATATTTTTCCTTGTCTTTAAGGGTGAATGGAAAAATTTTAAGTCTTAAAACCTCTTCCGGCATGTCCGTGTATTTCACGGTGGAACATACTTCAAGAAATTCATCCAAATGCTTGTAAGGTTCTTCATTTAAAAGTCCATGATAGTTAGGAAGCATTTGAATGGTTTGTGGTTTAATCTCATACTGATGTGCTCTAAATGGTAGCAATTGAATGTATGTGGGTGCATTATATTCATTCAACACATAATGATCACGCAAAGCAAGAGGGGGATTTACAATTGGTAGTGTTATATGAGCACCTTGATTGCCTTGGATTATGGGAGGTTATGGAGCATACATTGGTCTAGGCATTCCCAATGGGACTTGGCTTTGTTGTTGTGGTGGGTGAATGAATGGCCTCAGCATGCCTAATGGAACTTGGATGTTGTCATGATGCACATTGGGGAGGAGGATACCTTGTTGGTCTATGTGACCAAGGTCCTCCACATGGTCCTCATTATGGTCTTCCATTAATGAAATGGAATGACTAGAACTACCTCTTCCCCTAGGATTTCGAATAACGAATTCAGGATGAAAATTAAATGGGACAAGAGTAGGATTTAAGATGTCCGACCATGCATGCACAAACAAAACACAAACAAGCAACGAATAGTAAGCAATCACTTCACATTCGCGACAAATCAATCAACAAACTTCCTCCACATACAATGATCCCATACTCCTATACTTTCAACAATAATGCAAGAAAAGTAAATTGCCTCCATGTGGGCTCATGATTTATCTAGAAATATAAAAACAAGCCTCCACGCGGGCTGACGATTTAACTAGAGATTGAGTTTAGGAAGGGCTCACAAAGGGTCCTTAAGCACTTCAAATTAATTTTTCAACTTTAGCTTTGCAATTTTTAGATTTTTAGCTTTTTCCTTTCTTTTGCTTAGCTCCTTGCTTAGAATATTTCCTGCTCACTTTCCTTAGCCCAATGTACCTAGTCAATCAAGAACCAACACAATAAGTAATCAAAAATAAAAATAAAGTAAAGACACGATCAAAAGAGTACTAATTCCTAATTGTTTCCAGAATACGATGTTGCCTAAAATCAATTCCCGGCAACGGCGCCAGAAACTTGGTGGTTGCCGTCACATTGCACCAAAAGTTTTCAAAGAGATGAACTAAAAGTGTGAGTATGCAATGTGGCCAAGTTTTAAATTTATAAATGCCACTACTACCTCTAACTAAAAATATAACTAGTGAGGATGGATCATCCCAAGGGATTGGTGGGTCATGTTACTATGGAAACAATATTAGGGTTAGTGGGTCGAGTGATCAAAATGTTGTTGGTTTGGTTGATTAAACTACAATTAAGACTAAACAAGCTCAATATAAAATAAGTAATTAAAGGATAGAAAAAACAAGAGAGAGAAGTCTTGGGACTTAGAGGTCACCACTAAGCATCACCTTTTTATACACTCAATTTATAATTAATGAGGGGGAAAACATATGTTGTAACAATAGTGAGTGTGTGTGGTTGTTTCAACAAGCATGGATGACCAATTAAGTATATATTGTCTAAACAACACAATGAATAACGCAATATATCAAACTAAGCCATTAATCCTTCCTTTAAGCTCACAATCCAAACACATCACATGATTAGAGAAATATACTACTTGCGTTGATAAGTATGGAACATCAAATAACAAACATAGATTGTCCTCCCATTTAACAACTAAGGTAACTATTCTACATCTAAGCTAATGACATGAAAATTAAACTAATTAAACTAAGGGAGAGGCATAATCCATCAAGAAATGAGTATGAACCATCAAATAAACCTCAAAAGCATTCTATTAAGCACTATGTCTTGACAATCTCTAAATCTATAGCATTAACACCCATAGACATGCATCAACAACACAAGAGCTAGAGATAAACACATGAACATCTATTCTAGCATACATAGACATATAGATGGAATGAAATGATCAATTGGAAGAATTAAACCACACAAATCATTGAATAAACAAGATCTATGTATATAAAAATGTCAAAATATGTATTACAACACAAATCCCCTCAAAAATACATAAATAAAGGTAAAGAAGGCATGCTTAGAGATAACTCTAGCCTCAAGAGGATGTTTAGCCACTCATAGATGGTGTCCTCCAACCCTCAAGGGCTATCTCCATGGTAGAAATGCTCCTCTTCTTGAGGTAGATGGAAGACTTCCCATGAATGTGTCTCTAACCACCTCTTCTTTTTTCTTCCTCTCTAAGAATGATATCAAATGTTGTATCTAAAAAAACATATATGTAAAGGTGGCTCATAATCCTTATATAGGTAGCTCAAATGTCACACCCAATGGTCTTGGCTCGTACACAAGGGCTCCTTCAATGATTGCACCATGAGACAACTTTTAATGAGCTTGAAATTGATTTAATTTGTACTCACTACAACAAATTAGGGATTTACCAGCGCTTTTTTAAAGAACGCTGGTGTTGTGTACTAATTACTATCGTTTATATAGGAGCGCTAGTATAGGTACGTTTTTACCAACGCTTGTTTAGCAAGCGCTGGTGTAGGTACGTTTTTTGCAGCGCTTGTTTAAAAAACGCTGGTATAGGTACGTTTTTGCCGGCGCTTGTTAAAAAAGCGCTGGTGTTTTTACCAGCGCTTATTGAAAAAGCGACGGTAAGTGTGAAATTTAGTGCAGGAAATTTCGCACTTTAACATTATTTCACTTTTTTATTTCCTTAATTTTCCATTTATTTCTAACCTTATCTCATCCGAGCCCTAGGTTTTCTCTTCAGCCTCCTCAATCACCTCCATCTCTATTCTCGGTCTCAACTCTGAACTTGGCCCCCTTTTTCTCTCTGTAACTCCCCAATCGCACGCCTCCATCTCTATTCTCGATCTCAACTCTGAACATGCCCTCTCTCTCTCTGACTCCCCAATCGCCTCCATCTCTATTCTCGTTCTCAACCTTGAACTTGCCCCCTCTCGATCTCTGCAACTCCCCAATTGCCACTATCTCTATTCTCTTTTCTCAACTCTAAACTTGCCCCTTCTCTCTCTCTGCAACTGCTAACTAGAAAATCTACAAGAATCAGAAGTTTAAAACTCATATATTTCAGTTTATTTTGTCTGTCTGCAAGAATCAAAAGTTCAAAACCTATTGCACCACAGCCACCACCATCACTCCACCCCATATCCTCACACCACCACTGAAGCCAACCCCTCTCTCTCTGTTCGAGCTCTCTGCTATGGGTTTTTCGGCGAGATCTCTAGCCAAACCTTGGCTTCTTGCTCTCCGGCCGACCCTCAGCTAAGGAGATAACATTCTCATCTCGCCGCCATCCACCGTTGCAATTTTTTGTCATCTTCTCCAGCGAATCTAAGGCCGTCATCTCATTGTTCTCGGTTTGGTCTCTCTCTCGGATTTTTCTCTTCATTCCTTTGCTATTCTCTCTATCTTTCGGGTAAGCATCTTTCCCCTGTCATTCATATAAATATATATATGAGTTCATGTTTGAAAATTTCTGAAGGAAAGGTTAATTAAACTGTTTTGGAGATTTTTGGAATTTTATTTTGAAATGGGAATTCGGGATTTTAGTTATGTGAGATTTTATATATGTTTTGCCATGTTACAAATATTATGAAGCATGAAACTGTGATAATGAAGACTGAAAAAATTGAGAAATCACTGTGAACCTGTATTTGATCATTGGGACTGCGATTTTATGAATACTTTGATATATATTCTGTGATGTTGAAAAATGAGGATGGTTAGTGATGATGGGCTGTGTTTAAAAATTATTTTTGAAAATTTTGTGAAGGGTTGTGTCCCTAACTTTGGAGATTTGAAGTTCCAAATTTATCTGTGTTGTCATAATAAATTTTTGTGAAGCATGCTCTATGTTTTGATATATATTTCTATGTTTTGAGTTTTAAATTTTTGTGGAGGCTATAACCTTGATGACGCATATGTGTTGTGTGTGTTGAAAATTTGAAAACTCTATTTTGATATGCATATATAGTCTGTATTTCAAATTTCCAATGAGGCTGTGAACTGTGATTGGTCGTGAAGTTGGAAAGTTTGATTTAATTCATGTGGAGTAGTGCAGGATAAACCGAGATTTTGCTGATTAATTGAGATGTCACAGATGAGCGATTAACTAATGTATAAGGAATATGGGTTAGCTCTATTGCTGACTATTTGGTATTGATTTGTTGTTTTGGTTTTCTCTACTCACTCCTTGATTCCTTTAAAGATATGTTTCATATATTATTCAAACAAAGGGAGGAAAAGTTGGACTTATCTTAAATAGTTGGGAATGGGAAACTTGCAGAGAGTTCATTTACAATTCTTTATCTTGAGGATATTCTTACAAAATTTGTAGAATATTGTGGTATCATTGTGGTTAGTCAGTTCTTCTTTATCGACCTTGTGGTTTTTATGCTTAATTTTTCTTTGTTAGAAGTATCCAAATCTTAATGGTGTTCCTGTGTAGTGAATGCATGGATGTGAGACAATGTGTGGGTGTATCTATATGACCATGTCAGTGGTAAATTCCTATGTTAATTGAGTGGAAACAGTATCAATTTTGTCCTTTAGCTTCTACCACTACTATTTGCACGTGTTTGTCATATAGTTTCTTAGTTTATAACCAATTTGACTAAATCAGGGTGTTGCTTTTAACTACCCAAAAGATGTTTTAAAGTCTTGGCATGTAAACGACATCTTAAAACATTCTCTAGTAAGCAAGTGATGGAGCTTTTGCACTTACTTTTCCTATTTCAGAAAATTATCATCAAGTTCTATATAATTTTCTTCATGGAGTTGTTCACTGATTAAAGTCATTTTTTGGAATTTGTCAGGAGGAAGCAGGTAGACTCAAGTTTGTATGTGTTTCAAATGATGGTATTAATGACCATATGGTTTAGTATCAAATGTTATGTTTCATATGCATTGTGATAAAATGTTTTGTTCTTGTGCTGATATGCCTGAGACATTTGTAATGAAATTTTGATTCTTCCGTTGCCAGTTGCTGTTATATGTAAAAGCATTTTCTTATCAAGTTTCAGATTTTTGGTTGTAATTTTATTATTTTCCCCTTTCATGTTACAATTTCTTCGGAGGTGAAGGTTTCAAATTGAGGTCATTGGTTACTTAGGAGGGTTTGAACACCAGATCAAGTCCATTAGTGATCAAGGGATCTGCATTTTTCTTATAGTGTTTAGAGGTTTCAAGTGTCTCGTGGCTTATGGGGTACACTAGTACTGTATTCTGCTATCATTTGTTTGAAAGAAGGATAGACCATTAAATTGAATGCGACTAATTTTAGACCTTTGATTGGTTTGCTGCACCTTTTTTGCTCTTTTTTTTTTTTTTTTTTTTTTTCTTTAATTGCACATTTTCTTGCAACAACACTATGTTATTCCTAATTTTATGTACAGGTGAATGATGGGAGGAGCATCGATCCATCTGAGCTGCAAGAGAAGTTAACCGACTTAGTCATTCGGACTTCAAGTTAGATCCCCTTTTAATTTTTGTTTCTCTGCTATTTTTGTTTTCAAACTAGAATGGGGCTTTGAGTTGGATTTTGAAGTGTGAACTTGTGGTGCTTGTGGGGGCTACTTTCTACTCTTGGGAAGTTTGTTGTCTATATTTTTGTAAGTCTTCCTTCCTTGCATTCCAGATAGTAATTAAGATAGTGTAGTGACTGTTCTTGTACAACAGAAAAATATTTCATGTTAGGATTATTGATTGAGACAACATGCATTAATTCTGTCTTTCATGTGTTTTTCTATTTCTCCAGTGTTATGACTCTTAGTTAAAACACATATTCCATTAAATTTTTGATTTGGCTCTATCTTATTATCCTTATTCCTTAATGCTGTACAGATAGGAGCTATTGATATTTAATTTGCTCACCTTCTGTTCATGTAATATAAATCATATTGAACTTTTTTTTTTGGCAGTTAACTGAGTAAACTATTTCAACAGCTACAAATTTTATTTCATTTTCCACAAATGACATCATCAATAATTTGCCTCTTCCATTTCTGTTTTGATTCCCAGCTATCTTAATTTAATTACCTTTTTTCCCTCTTAAAGCCAAAATATATGACCTTAATAGATTATTAACACAAAATTTTGCGTACTCACTGGTAGGGATAGTCTTGGTTTTACATGTTATCTGTTTAAGTTTTTATCAGTGGAAGAAATCACTTTTCTGAAAAGTGTCTTCATTAACATCTCCTGGCCTACCATTCCTTATTCATGCACAACATGTAAGTGAATGAAAGCACTATTTGTCTTTATGTTCATATTTCCATCAAGTTATTTTCTATTAACAACTTAATACTACTTATTCTATCTTGATTCATATTGTCCCTTCAAAGAATTCAGGAAAAAACTATAAAGAAAAAAATAATGTTGCCTTAAAGTTACTGGTCATAAATGTGCATAGTAATGGTGGATTAGTTTCGCAAACAATCTGATAAGCTTATGGGTGGCAGGTGAATCCGTCCCACACCCGGCTCTGAACTTGGAGAGCTCTCACTGCATCACCATGATGGAAGCCGTTAACAATGGAAAGGATCTTCACGTCTCCGTCACCATGCCTTCCATTGAGGTACTTAATTTGCTCAACTAAATTGATCTGTTCTTGGAAACATTGATCCGTTCTTGGATATAAAATAGAGGGCAATGGATATAATATACATATGGTGTTTGTCAGTAATAGATTTGGACTCTTCCTTTGTTCATTTAAGAGGGAAATAACAACTTACAAGGTATATGGGCCATCCAACATGTCCAGTTAATTTAAATGGTGTAAAGAATCTATGCCTTTTGGTCTTCTGTGAATAGATCAGATGGTAACAAAAATATTTATTGTAGAGGTTTGTCTTCTCAAATTAATTTTAACTGTAAAAAGAATCTTTGTTTCTTGTGACCATGCAATAGAAATAATAATAATAATAATAATAACTATTGTAGAGCTTTGTCTTCTTAGGGCCCATTTCCCTCTTTTTTTTTTTTTTCCCCTCTTAATAATATGGTATTCAAATTTACAAAGATGGAGAATTTTGTGATGTTTGTCAATGAATTTGTTAGAAGCTTATGCACTAAGATAGAATCATGACTTATGAGTTGATCAGTAAATTATGGCTTTTTACAACCTGCTAACCTACAATTTTGCATTTGTAGGTGAGGACAGTCTCAAGGGAGCAAGTAAGAGCACTAAAGAAAGCTGTTGATGATATAAGTTGCAATGGTTCACTTTGAATAGTTTCTCCATGCAAACTACGTTTTCAGAGGCAACTTAAAGAAGTGTTTTAGAGAGTTTGAAGTTGAAGCTAGAAAAAAGAAAGTTTGAAGATGGGGTCATGGTTGTGCTTTCTGAATTTCCTTAGCCGATGTGAAAACTTCTAATACATTTTGATGGGTTCTTTTGAGGAAACTTGTGGTTGTGTTCACAACTTTTGTGAAAAATTATTTTCATTGTGTATACTTCTTTTGTAAAAACTTGGTGTTCAGTACAGTATTATCTATTAGTAGACATTCAATTTGGATGGTATTTTCATATTTGCAGATTAACTTGTAGTTGCCTAAATCCATTAGTATACATCTGGATGATAATTGTTTTTATATATAAACATGTTTTATAAATGGGTTTCTTTAGGGAAAGAAAAAAACCAAAACAAAACAAAAAATAAAACAAAAAAAAAAAAACTAAATAAATTGGTAATCACTAGGGCTCTTTTAAAGAGCGCTGGTATAGACCAAAACATAAAAAAAATTTGGTAAATACCCTTTGCCAGGGCTTTTTGAAAAAGCGTTGGTAAAGGGTCTTTACCAGCGCTTCTGCAAAAGCGCTGGTAAAGCCCTACCGACACTGGATTTACCAGCGCTTTTCCAGAAGCGCTGGTAAAGTGCTGGTAATTAAATTACCAACACTTTTTAAGGCTTTTACCAGCGTTTTTGAGCGCTGGTAAAAGCCAAAACTGTTGTAGTGACTTGAGAAGGTTCGATCGATCGAACCTATGCTAAGATCGATCGAACTTGGCTGAGATCTATCAAACTTTGGCTGGATCGATCCTCCCATGGCGACGCCTTTTTGGATAAAGACAAATCTGAGATATTTTGGGATATTTTGGGAAAAAGACAAAAGTGGTAGGTGGGGTGGTATAACAGGATAAGATGGAATCTTTTTTATTAATTTGATAAATGTTGGATTGATCGAACATTGTGGGATCTTTGGATAAGGGCAAAAGAGCTTGAATCCGTCTTGGAGTGCAGAGATCGATCTTTGTCAGATCGATCTAAGAAATTCTGTGATCGATCGAACTTTGCTGAACTTCCACCACTTGCTTCATTTTGCTTCCACTTTGCTCCTTTCTTTCATTCATCTCAAGATTGCTTCAATTATGCTCTTATTTGGCTGAATTAGCTTATTTTGGGGATAAGTGCCTGAAAATGCAAATAACATGAAATCAATCCAAAGCGGGAAAATAAGATAAATAAAGGTCCTAAAATACCTAAGCTTAACGGGTATAAATGCGCACTTTTCAGCGCTCATCACTTAAAGGCCCGTAATCACTTCTTAAATATGGTTGAAGTCTCTCCCAAGTGCAACGGAAGACAAATGGCAGCACTATCTCCAAGATTCAACTAAGCCCAGATATCAAATCTATGCATTCATGAAGGTTGCACTTCTTCTTCATGAACTTGTGTATTTATCTCCATCCGATCAACTGAAAATATAAAACTCACACAATCAAACTCAATAATTTGAAAACACTTTTTCAAATCTCTTTTTCTTTCTTGTATTGAGATTATGTATTTTGTAGGATTCATAAACCTACTATTTATACTAGTAGAAGTGGGAATGTAATTAGCTTGGTATTAATGAACATATATTCATTATATTGATAAATAACATATTAAATAAAGTAGATTAAATGCATCAGGTGAAGAACTTTTATGTTTAGTGTTTGTAAAATACTTAAAGTCTTTATAAATATAGATTAATAAAATCAATTCGAAACATAACTCCAACATTTCTTTTCAAGAATCATTAAAAAACTTAAGATTTGGTACTGAAATGTTGAAGTTGGAAGATTTTGAATTTGATTCTGACTAGAATGTATGGTGGTGTTTCATAAAAGTAAAAATATACTGAAGCTTTTAAGCAATATTTAGTGATAAGTGATATCTATGTCACCTAAAATTTTATCCCATTTTAAATCGCTCTTACTATTTTCAGTAATATTGATTATCAAATGCACTTAATTAGATAAATGCTTAATATGTTCAGAATTAAACATTGATTTGAGTTATCAAATAGCACCTAAATCTTTATTTCTAGTCCATAATTGCCCAAAGACTTTGTTAGTAGAATTGAATGGATTGTGATTCAAAATTTTAGAAAAGAATTTAGAAAATATTTTAAATTCCATAAGGTCTACGAGGATTTAAAGTGTTCAGTTTCATGTGTTAATTCTTACATATATGTTAAACCTAATACTAGTTTGTGAGATATATATTTTATAATTGACTAATTTCGTTGTCAAAACATTTAAGTCCGATCGAGTTGTAAAATTTTGGTTCAAAATTTCAAGTTTCAAGATCGGAAGTGGATTTAAAGAAAGTTCAAGTGCTCGTGCTTTAATACACTCTGAGATGATGAGAACAATGCTTTAGAAATGTATAAGAGTGTGTGAGAACACTTATGAAGTTTTGAAAGGTTGAGCCACAACTTTTAGGAAGTTTTTACTTTCTACCCAACTTGAACAGGTTCAAGAATCTTGGAACAGGTTCAACATTTGAGGCTTTATGGAGATTTTCAAGATTGACCATCTGGAATTGGTTCCATTTTCCTGAACCGATTCAAGAATCAAAATGATTCTTTGTATTTTACACTGGCCATCTTAAACCGGTTCCACTTTCTTGAACCAGTTCAAAGTCTTCAAACATGTTTGGTAACTTTAGTTTCCTGATTTGTTTTGATTCCTATTTGGTATAGACTTTTTTCCAAAATCCTATGTGTGAATTTGAATTGGTTTTTAAGTATTCTTAGGTCTTCCAAACTTTTATAGAATCTCTCTTTCATTCAATATTGAGGGATGTCTTTTGGAACACAAATTCATTATTTTGAAAGAAGCCTTTTTGAGAGATATTTTTTAGAAAATCAAATCTGATTTTTCTGTTTTTATTTTGAGAACACGCATATATACACGAGTGATTTAGTTCTGTTGTTCTCTATCTCATCGAAAATGGAGCATAATTGAAGATTCAAATATTTCAAAAAGCAGATCTATTTCTTTTACATCAAATTCAGATCTTGAAGAAAATGGGTGAAGCGATCACACTTTGAAAGGGTCAAAGCATTCGAGGAGTGTTGTATGATTTACGAGCAATCTTTCTACAGAAATCAAGAGTAAGCCTAGAGTCAAGAGTTGTTGGACGGGACGTCGCAAAGCTGAAGATTATCAACAATTGGTTTTTGGTAGAATGATATGGTGTGCGCCTGAGTCAAAGTCCATTGTACTTTGTTTCAAACATAATGGATCATTTTGCTCTGGACTACATAGTCCATGATGTTTTTCTCACAACAATTAGTCTCTTGTGCCAATTGGGGTTTTCTCGCTAAAAATCCTAGTGTCATCTCTTAAACTTTACTTACTTTACTTTTCAGTATTTATCTTTATGATTGTGGATGTTTAATTGATCATATTGCTTAGATAGATTAATCAATTGATCAAAAAAATTGGGTAAGTTGACCTGATAATCTCATCTAGGTCATTTAGGGATTTAATCATAATTAAATCGACTAATAGCTTCTGCACCGCGTAACTCACATTTGGTATCAGAGCGGGTTACTCGATATATTGAGTAGATTATACTTGATTTGTTGTGATTTTTATATTGTGTCTGATAATTCATCTTCTGTAGATGTGTTGCCTTTATCTCTTATTTTTTATTCTATCATAAGTATACATATTGAGTGGTTTAAGTTTAAAAATGATTTTAAAATTTTGCTAGAGAAATTGAAACTTACGGAACTTGATAGAGATATTTATAAGTTAGAAGTTTATGTCTCTAATAAAAATTTGGAAGAAATTGCCCATAAAAAATTAAATCTTCTTTATAGGTTTGATTTTCTAGAAAAGGAAGTTAAATAAGTAAACAGGTTTAATAAATTGCTTGAACTTAGAATTGATAATTTAAGTAGTGAGTTTGTTAAATCAATACAGTCTTTTTAGAAATTTAACGCTGACACTTGCAAAATTAATAAGTTGAAAGGAGTAGTTAAGAACATCAGTAGTAATAAATAATTGGCTTCAACTTCAAAGGATTTATATTTTCAAAAATCTAGAGATGTTTTTGTGAAAGTTGAAACCAAACCTTGTGTTTTCACTAGTTCTCCCAGACTTATTTTAACATGTTATTTTTGTGTAGAAAAAGATCATATTAAGTACAAGTGTCATAAAAGAAAAATTGAACTTGGGATGAAATTAAAAAATCTAGATAGTTCAAATAAGAAGAAAAAAAGGATTAGGTCTTCTGAGTCTTGTGACACTTTACCTAGAACAATCGGAAAATCATTGCATAATGAATCTAAAATTGTTTGGGTAAAGAAAGAGAATTTTAAATGCTTTACTATACACACTGTACTTAGAGCACTAGGTCCATGTGATTGGTACTTTGATAGTGGTTGCTCTGGGTATATGACAGGGGATAGAACATTATTTACCGCTTTTAAGGAATGCTCAATTGGAACTATTACTTTTGGTGATGGTAATACTTCTAGTGTAAGTGGTAAAGGTAAGATCAAATTTTCAGGAAATGGGGAGTTAAAAATGTTCTATATGTTAAAGGTTTAGATGCTACTTTGTTAAGTATTAGTCAAATTTGTGATGAGGAGTTTCAAGTCAATTTTACTCAACAAGGATGTTTTGTAACTAATGAAAAAGGTGAATGTGTTTTGAAAGGAATTAGAACCTCTGATAATTGCTACGCTGTGTATTCAGATCCTTCATTTATGTTTCTTTCTGTAGTTACTGATGAGGCAATTTTATGGCATAAAAGACTTGGCCATGTGAATTTTAATGATTTAATAAAATTGTCTAATAATGATCTTGTTTGAGGTTTGCCTAAGTTAAAAATGCTTAAGAATGAAATATGTGGTCCATGTCAATCAGGAAAACAAACTAGAGTGTCGCATAAGAGACTTTTCCATAAAGTCACTACTCGACATTTAAAATTGATACATATGGATTTAATGGGTCGCATAACACCTAATAATATTGGAGAAAAAAGATATTTGGTTGTTATGGTTGATGATTATTCTCGATTTATATTGATTGCCTTTTTGCTAGAAAAGTTTGATACTTTTGTGAATTTCAGGTCTATTTGCCAATTAATTCAAATGAGAAGGGGTATCGAATAACTTAGATAAGGAGTGATAATGGACGAGGATTTGAACTTAAGAAATTTATTGAATATTGTGATAAGTTTGGCATTAAGCATGACTTTTCAGCACCTAAAACACCATAA